AGTTCTTTATTATATAGTGTTTGTTAAGAAAGAGATAATTGATGTATGTATGTATGACCACAATTTAAATTTTGTTATTTCTTCAGACTTAAAGGTCCATAAAGGAATGGTGACTTGTTGTTGGTTTCTTCATGTTCAAAATGTTCTTATAATAGGTAAATGTAGAAGATCTGTTTTCATCTTAAATGGCTGCTAGTTTATATTTGTGGTTTTGTCTTAACCCTGGCAAAGACACTTTCATTGAAATTTGGGATCTTGATTCACAGCATTGTTTTCTTACTTTGGTTGGTCATAAAACAGGTGAATGGAACCTATGAATTTGTTGTTATGATAGGATGTAGGAGTTGTCTACCCTTCACTCTCCGTAAAAGAATAAGGATGAATACTTGGCTAGAAACATGGATTTAGGAACAGTAATAAAGTCACTTTAATGTACATTTTTTTAAGGTTTGGGGCTTTGTTGTCGTCAAGAATGAAACAAGGTTAATTACTGGTTGTGCTGATAGTGAATTGAGAGTTTGGAAAATTGAGTACAAAGATGATAGAACAGAAAAACGCGAAGAAACGAGAAAACGAAAGACAGCAACGCAATCTAGCGAGGATGGTGTAGGGGAAATAGAGGTATATAAGAGGTGTTTGTTGGTCGTTTCTCTGCGTCTTCTTGCATGATGCATGAAGGATAATAGTGGATGCTACTTAAATTCAGAAAACCAAAGGGAAAATTAGCGTTTTTGAGATCTTAAGTTGCAATGCGTGTATGACGTAATATTAGGATTGTTGGTGGATATTTGTGAGGTAAACTAGGACTATTGGTGACTATTTGTGAGGTATACAGTATAAGGAATGTTGGTTGATATTTGTGCATAGGATTGTTGTTTATTTTTGTGAATATTACTATCTTAGGTTAAACTAATGAAGTCTCTAATAAACTTTGTGTTTATAATTTGGCCATCTACATTAGACCTGTCACCACTGCATCAAGCATTTAGTCTAGTTTTAAATTCATAAATAAGCATTTAGTTTTAGTTTCAACTCGGACTTTAACTTCTATATTTCGAATTTCTATAGGAATTGCTTTCGTGTACAATGATTGACTCTGTCATGAGAAGCTCAATTGGTCGCGTAGTGTCGCTGTATTGCGATCTTTCACGAACTTATATTGGTTGTCATGTACGTACGTTATGTAAGAAGTTTTTATTTGGGATTTGTATTGTAAAAAATTGCTATGGAGATGATGAACATTATGTGGCTACTGCTCAGCTTTATTACAACCTAGTATCAACTATAAATGGCTTTTCTGATTGGATTAATCATACAGTAATGATAAACATTAAGTTTTCGTTCTTTATAATTCTATAGCTTATTGTATTTCATTGTACTATTTAAAACCCTAGACAATAGCAACGCACAGCTTTCTAAGAAGTGGGTTTGGTATTCAACTATGGAAAACAAAATATTTAATTTACATATCAATTTTGCTGCGGTCACCGAGAGTCGTGTTGACATCTTGAGGGAATATTCATTATAAAAGCAACTGTCTGAGTAATTTTCGTGTAATTTTTACAAACCCAGCAGAAATTCTTGCAGTAGCAAATATTACTCACTTTTCAATGGAAAAACTTCATTCTAATGTCGACCATAGATTGTCATTATTTATTTCATGATAACCAAGTTGAGAATGTAGTATTTTACGTATGTCAAAAACATTCAGGGTTATGAATGAATTTTACAAAATGTAATGAATATTTCTTATTTCACGAGAGGACTAAAGAAAAGATGTGGTTATGTGAAGATAATTTTTATTTGTTTAGGGTGCTAATTCTATGTTAGAAATGTTTCGTATTGCATCAGAAGACGAAATAAAAAAACGCTTGGCAAAAAGACGAAGAAAGATTTTAAAGAAGCAAAGGTTGTTGACTTTGAAATTTTAAAACTGTATTCAAGCTTTTTTATTCTCATGCATGTGATATTTTTTACCATTATTTATTCCTAGATCACAAGGATTGGAAGCCGACGAGCTGACGGTTAGATAATTTTTGTTACGTGAAATTTGTGTACAAAGAATTTTGACGAATCAAAATATACGTAGTTTACGCTAAGACATCACAATCTGGCCTCGTTTCTGTAACATTGTGATATTTCTCTTTATTTGTGAATAGTTCTTATATATTATGTCAAAATCCTGGAGCATATTTGGTTTTGTTTCTTGAAATGAAATTTTCGATTTTGAAAACGTAGAAACAGAAATACGTAGGAAAGAATGAGATATGCGTTGTTCCAACATTTTAATTGTGTATTTGCGCACTATTTGTCTTATTTGTTTTAACATTACTTTTATTTTATCAGGTTTCTGAAAACATCTTAGCCACCGTCGAAGACGAGATTATAAAATTACCCGATGTTAAAGCGACCTCAAAGATACGGTAAAATGATGTATGGAGTACAAACATTGTAATTCGCTTGTGGAAGTCAAGCGTTTTGTGTGAGAGAGAGAATTTTTCTTGACGTGCTTTTCTCAACGGATGTTTTTTCTTAAATATAATTAATCAATGTTGGTTTCTAATACTTTCATACACGCAATATTTTTAAGCAGTTTTACAATGTCAATTTTAAAATTGCTTGTTCAAAATGGCTGAATAAAAAGTTATTTTAAACGATATTTATGATTGAAAAGTCGTTTCTAGTCCTCCTCGTACATATGTACGTACGTCGTTCATTCACTTGTTTTGCTTTTCCGCCATTATAAAATACAAACAATTTTTTTATTCTTATTAGGTCATTTGACTTTGCATTGAATTCAAATAATGATCTAAAGGTATCTCATTATTTTTGTCCGCGATTTTATTTTATATTTGAGAAGTATGGATGTGTTAAATTGATGTTTCTGTATAATTCCAACTGTTGTTAAATTGTCATTTTGAACGATGAGAAATAGTCTTTCCTCATTTTTTTATCATCTTATTTGATTGTACATGTAAACAATGCGTAGTATAGTGGATACTATGGAATTAGTTGCATCCACTTGAAATAAGAATTTTTTAAATTTCTACAGATTTCATTATTACTACACAACAACAGCGTAGAGTTTCATGTCTTCAGTGAAGAAAAGAAAGATTCAACTAATATACTTTCCATAAAGACACCTGGTCATCGTAGTGATGTAAGGTATGTGGCTACGTAGATCTCAATAAATCTGGAATATGAAGACAATAAGTTAAAGTCTTAAATCTCATGTGCCTTTTGAAGCGTCATACTGTAACAGCTCACTTCATCTGATTGACCCCTAAGACCAAATGTATTTTTTTTTACATAGCGATTCAATGGTTAGAAATAATTGCATTTCAGAAAATGATTAATTTTGTTGTGTTGTTGTTATTTTCGCTTCATCCGCATTTTGTAGTATTTTTCACTTTAGCATGAAATCTTGAATAAAATGGATGACGCATTTTTTATTTTATGAACTTCACCCTTGATTTAGTTGATTTTTAGCTAGCTTTCTTACTTTAGGACTTTGTCATTCAATTCTGACGATTCCTGCATCCTCTCTGGTGCAGCTGAAAGTGTTAAATTGTGGAACAGGTACAATAAACAGATTTTTAAAGTTGTGTATGTGTATTTGCTTGTAATTTCTTTAACTAGAACGTACAATGATTCATATTTTTTTAAATTTATCAAGTTGTACCAACAGGATAATCATTTTTTCTGTTATGATTAAGGTTGGAGTAATTTCGAATAGGGGTGGGGGAATGAAAAAAATCAAAGTTTACTAAAAAAAACATTATGCAAGAAATTAAAATAGCATCCTGAAGGATGTAATATTACCGTAACAGACTTACGTACTCTACGCTATCATTGTTTGTGGGTCGAAAGAGTGACTTTGTCTATGTCAACCTGTGATGATTTTTCTAACAAATTTATAGATCGACTCAGAAATGCATCCGAACAATGTCTTCTGGTTATTGTCTAAGTTCGCTTTTTGTACCTGGTGACAGACACGTCATTGTTGGTACTAAGGTATACAACATTAGTGAATGTGACTTTATAAAGTAGTGAGACAATGTAAGGTCATGTGACAGACACGTTGTTGTTGGTACTAAGGTATACAACATTAGTGAATATGACTTTATAAAGTTGTGAGATAATGTAAGGTCATGTGACAGACACGTTGTTGTTGGTACTAAGGTATTCAGCATTAGTGAATATGACTTTATAAAGTAGTGAGACAATGTAAGGTCATGTGACAGACACGTTGTTGTTGGTACTAAGGTATTCAGCATTAGTGAATATGACTTTATAAAGTAGTGAGACAATGTAAGGTCATGTGACAGACACGTTGTTGTTGGTACTAAGGTATTCAGCATTAGTAAATATGACTTTATAAAGTAGTGAGACAATGTAAGGTCATGTGACAGACACGTTGTTGGAACTAAGGTATACAACAATAGTGAAGATGACTTTATAAAGTAGTGAGACAATGTAACATGTTGACCCTGTAAATTTCTTTACAGGCTGGCAAACTCCAAATATTTGACGTTTCGTCTGGTTCATTGCTTGAAACTGTGGACGCACACGATGGTGCTATTTGGTCGTTGTGTTTAGCTCCCGATAATGTAAGGAACTTTACTTTATTTAAAAAACATATTTTTGGTCCAGTCGTTGGAAAGTAACATTTTGACGTATGCTTCACTTCTCTCCCCGTCCTCAGAGGGAGCTCCAGACTACGTACGTTCATCTAGAAATGATGATTTTATCAATTTCTAGACGCTATTCGCCTCAGGAAGTGGTGACAAGGTTGTAAAATTTTGGGAATTTGATTTGATTACGGATGAGAACTATTCAACGACCAGGTATTAAATAATTTGCATGTAAAGCAACGTTTGCACTCAACGTGATTTTTATCATTGTAAGACGAAAAATGTCCATTGTCTGTCGGAGAAAAAACAACTTCATGTACTAATTCTGTTAAAGCTTGTGTTCTAAAGTTTTTTCTCTTGTTTTTCTTGTGCATTTCATGATGTTTGTAAAGAAAAGTGGTTAAATGTGACCATCCGCTTTTTGTTTGTTCAATCTCAGCTTAACATTTTCTAATTGTATGATTCAATATTGATTAATTAGTTTATGTATTTCGTTGTACAATTGGGTGATTCATTTTGTATTATTTTGTTTAGTCAAAGATTAAGTCTTTGTCATGCACGAACATTAAAGATGAATGATGACGTAATGTGTGTAAAGTTCAGGTTAGTTGTTGATATATTCGCCTGTGGGGGTGGGGAGGGTATACCTACTTATGATCTTTCATTTAATCACGTGCTAACCTTCGTTGCAGTCCAAATCAAAAGTTTATTGCCGTGGCTTTGCTTGATTTTACAATGAAAATTTTCTTCACTGATACATTGAAGGTAAGTTGTTAAATATTTTTGTACGTAGTTGATGATATTGGATAGCAGTTGATGGTATTGGATAGCAGTTGATGATATTGGATAGCAGTTGATATTATTGGATAGCAGTTGATATTATTGGATAGCAGTTGTCAGAATATTTTCATTTATTGCTTTAGATCACTTTAAAGTAGACTCCTTGTACGAAATTCTCCCATTTTTTTTTCTATGAATCACGATAAAAATGCACTTTGAGTTAGAACTGTTTCCTTTTCCTATAAAGAATTCACTAAAAAATCAACTCTTGTAAAAAGAAGGCGATATTTTTGACTTTAAGCTAGTTACGTAACATTGGATTAATGTATGCTTTCCATCAACGTTATAATTTGATTTACAGAAGTGTCAAAAATTTAACTGAATAAACATTTTCCTGTCCATTTATCCTAATTACTTTTGTATTCATTCTATAAATGTGGTTACTTTTCTCGTGTCGTTATTTAGTTCTTCCTATCCCTCTATGGTCATAAATTACCAGTTGTTACCATGGATATATCAACGGTACGTTTTATTCATATGACATGTGTTTCAAAGTGTCAACGTTTGACTGTCGTATTTGATAGCAGTGGATTGTGTTTGTGAGAAGAATCCTTAGCCTACGTCATACATTTTGTTATACGTCACATCCGTTTTAGCTGTCGCAGCTAAAATTATGCTGTTTTTTTCAAGCTCACAAGAACGGCTTCCAACTCCTTTTGATATCATGTTTTATAATATGTTTTTTATTTTTGGTTGACAGAACTTTACCACATAAAATACAAGAAAAATACGTATACACAAAAGATACATTACCAAGCTGTAAATAAGTCATTTCGCAATAGCTTTTCGAAATAGATATTTTCGAAATAAAATTACAAAGTGAATCAATTTTAAATAATGCATTAATAATTTATGCGCCAGTTCAAAAGAATGTAAATTTTGCTGGGTAAGCTTTTCTTCAATGTTGCTTTAAACCCAAACGAGGAAGTTTGGGTTTGTGACGTAAACTAAAGAATTATAAAATGAACGATGATTATGACAATGTAATGAAAATTATTAATGTCAACTACGTATGACCATGTAATTTTTACCAATCCTCTGTTGTGAAAGTGTAGAGCGTGTAGCGGTCCATCTCTTGACCACTTTGTATTAGTGAACGCTTTTCAATGGCGTCGTTATTTATTTTTGAAACTTTTCTCTGTCTTTAAATTCGTATTTTTGTTATCCTTGATTCATTTTTTACAGGATAACGTTCTCCTTGTTTCTGGTGGCGTTGACAAGAACATTAAGATTTGGGGTTTGGATTTTGGTCATTGTCGCAAATCAATATTCGCCCATGATGACAGGTACGCACAATGTAATTTTAAATGATAGATACGCAATTTTATGATGGTAATATATGATAGCCTGAAACAGTCGATTATATCCTTACAATACACTCTTATCCTATTGGCATCGTCATTATACCCTATTTAACCCTCTTACCCTGATTACATAATTGTTTTTTCATCACCATACCTTGTACGTCTATAACATACTAGTAAACCACGTCCTCAATTGTTTTATAAGTAGATTTCCTGCATATTTTTACCCGCATGTTATCAACATTACACCCTACAATACCTACATGTACTTTCATTGTATACTTTATATTCTCATGGTATCCATATTAAACTTCCTAATACCTACATGTACTTTCATTGTATACTTTACATTCTCATGTTATCTATATTACACTTCCTAATACCTACATGTACTTTCATTATGTACCTTATATTCTCATGATATCAACATTACACCTAGTAATACCTACATGTATATTCGCTATTTATATTGTAACAGCTTTAATCTTCTTTTAGTGTCATGGCCGTGCAGTTCGTGCCAAAACTCATTATTTCTTCAGTGCAAGTAAAGATAAAACGATAAAATATTGGGACGCTGACAGATTTCTTCATGTTACGACCTTAGAAGGTCATCATTCAGAAATATGGAGTCTTGCAATCAGCCATGACGGCGAGTTTGTTGTAAGTGTCAAGTATGTAAGGTTTTAGATAATGGCGAGTTTGTTGTAAGTGTCAAGTATGGAAGGTTTTAGATAATGTGGAGTTTGTTGTAAGTGTCAAGTATGGAATGTTTTAGATAATGTCGA